GTCATGCAGACACTTACTGTATATCAGAACTACAATTTAAAGATTGTTTTTGTAACTAACCAACTTTCCTTTCACTGCATGCAATAACAAGGTTCAGCTTGCTGCTGTCAAGTTCTGACCAGGTGGGATTCACGGCAAACTCTCCATCAATCTCACCAACTCTCACCGCACCTTCGATCATAAAATAATTTGTACAAAAAAATTTAATTATTAGTTGTAATTATGCCATGAATTGTTTTGCATAGTCTTGTCCCTAATACTAGCTGCTCTACAATTTTCGTCAAATTCTCCCTTAATCTGGTGCTGTTTTCCACTTTCATGAACCAAACAAAATTGAAAATATTTACACCCCTTTTGTGGAATACTCGTCATAAAAACGCAAGCATAAGCAGTAAATAAATCAGACCAAATGTAAGACCAAAACAAATAAAACTACAAAGGGGTGACCGGCACTGTTTACAAGGATCTTTATGATTGGTCAAACAAAATAATTGGTAAACAACACAAACAACACCCCTAGAGATGCAGAATCAAAAGAGAGGTTTTAGAGGGGTGCATGTCAACTGACTACAAAGAGGAATCAGTTATTGGTGAATATGAAATTATTAGGTGTGGGAATTCATATATCAGTCACACGTTATTAATTATTTGATTGAAGTGCAGTGTATACTAAGGGTTTTGAGAACTGCATGCCACCATCATCAAATAATAATTATTTATATTCCAAGGGGGAATTTCTCTCCCTCTCTCAGGGTTCAAAATATTTCTTGGCCTTTATTTCGACTTTTTTTAGAAGAAGCTTTACTTGCCAACAGGACCACTCCAAGGAATATCAGAAACTGCAAGAGCTGCAGACGCTAAAAGAAAGAAAATCAATAATGCAAATTTACATTTTTTTTACTAACTAACATTCTTATTTAAATGATTACTAGGGCTTATTCAATGATCAAGATTCAGGTCTTCAGGATTATTGCCTACATTCCCTTGACTGTTATTAATTTAAAAAAAAAAAATGGATGTTGGCACATAATTTTAATTTTGCATACCACAGTTGACTGACTATTACTAACACAGACCTCCATTTATAGCAGCAATATCAGGATCGTGGAGTCCATCAGCTGCCCATAAACTGCTCTTGACCTATACATTAAATAACACCATTGAGAATGGGACAGAGGCTTTACATAAAGTGGTTATCATAAAAATGATCATAGTGAATGACTTTTGGATAGTACCATAGCTGATTCTTAACAACAAGTGTTCAAACACAATTCATATTAAACATTTCAAACTGTTTGCTAGCATGTTGTACATGTACATGATGTAACAGCAGCTTGTTTAAAACCCCTTTTTTAAAGGTTAACATTTTTATGATACATGTACAGAACTAGTTAGTAGAGA